AGTACTGCTGTGGATAAAGTCAGAACCAAGGAAGTTCAAAATTTTTGTGGCCAACCGACTCGCCGAGATCGAAGAAAGGTCCAAGCCAGAAGACTGGAGATGGGTGCCAACCAAGGAGAATGCAGCGGACGACGCCACGAGGGGAACCCCAATCGAATTCGACCACAACGCCAGATGGTTCAAAGGCCCGTCATTTCTCCGTCAACCAGAAGAAGAATGGCCATTCCACGACTTCAAGCCAGAAATTGTTATGCCAGAAGAAAAAAAGCAAGCAAAAGGTGTTGGCAACAATGGCAGTAGAAGACACTCTACTAAACCTAGAAAGGTTCTCGAGCTGGGAGCGACTGCTGCGCACTACAGCCAGAGTGATCGCCTTTACACACCTACTAAAGAAGAGCCGTAAAGCGACCACCACCGCCGCACGCCAGAAGGATGAGTCCTGGAAACCACAAAAAATCCAGAAGAAAGAAGCACAAACCTCAATCCCGTCGACCAGCAGAAGTGAAAATAAGCGCCTATACTCACCCATAGAAGCGGAACACCTAAAAAAGGCTGAAGAGATATTAATAAAAATAAGCCAGAGCGATAGTTTTGCATCAGACATAAGAAAACTGAAGTCAGAAAAGCCATTAGAAAATTCGAGTCGACTCAAGAAAATCGACGTTTACATTGGAGACGACGGAATAATTAAATTAAGGAGCAGAACAATGAAATTCCACGACCAAAACGAAAGAATAATGAACCCTATCATTTTAGACGGAAAACAAAAAATAACTCGTCTAATAATACAACACTATCACAGGAAATTCATTCACGGAAACACCGCTACAGTAATGAACGAAATTCGTCAAAGGTTCTGGATCTTGGGTTTAAGAGCAACTCTAAAAGCGGTCGCACACAGCTGTCAATGGTGCAAGACAAAGAAGAGTTCACCAGAGATACCACCAACGGGAGATCTGCCGAGTGAAAGATTGCAGCATCATCAATTTCCGTTCTCCTGCACAGCTGTGGACTACTTCGGGCCGATGCAAGTCACCATCGGAAGAAGGAACGAGAAGCGCTGGGGAGCCTTATTTACCTGTCTCACAACTAGAGCAGTACATTTAGAGCTGGTACCTTCTCTCAGCACCAGCTTAATGATCATGGCACTCCGACGAATGGCAGCCAGAAGAGGAACTCCGAAAACCATATATAGCGACAACGGAACTAATTTCGTCGGAGCGAAAAGGGAATTAGAAGAGGCCGCACAGGAAAAGGGCATCCAGTGGAAGTTCATCCCCCCGGGAGCTCCAAACATGGGAGGCGCCTGGGAGAGGCTCGTACGAACAGTCAAAACGGCGCTAGCAGTAGTCCTCAACGAGAAGAGCCCGCCCGAGGAAGTACTCCATACGCTAATGACTAAGGTTGAACACATCGTCAACTCGAGACCTCTCACCTCGATCAGCATGGACCCAGGAGACGAGGAAAGCCTAACACCGAACCACTTTCTGCTGGGTAGATCATGCGGAGCTATGGCGCCGGGAGAGTTCAGCGACACGGAGCTAATCGGAAAGGCAAGTTGGAGAACCACCCAGAGACTCGCAGACCACTTCTGGAAAAGGTGGATTAAAGAATACTTACCTCTCCTGATGCCAAGGAAACTCGAAGGGAAAGAAACCAGAGACCCAAGGGAAGGAGACATCGTGCTAATAGTGGACGCCACATTACCGCGAAACTCATGGTCTCGCGGTGAAATCGTCAAAACCTATCCCGGACCAGACGGAAGAACCAGGGTGCTGGACGTGCGGACATCAGGTGGAATACTTCGCCGTCCAACTCGACGTGTCATCGTGCCGGTGCCAGCGGAGTCGTCGCCTCCAGAGGGTGCAGTGCTACGCACCGTGGGGGGAGAATGTTAGCGACGACAAAGTGAATTCGAACATTTAATTTTAATTACTCCTTATTAGTGATTTAAAACTAAGTGATAGTATTTAATCTTAATTGTTTCCTATTTGTAAAATAAAGTTAAGTGTAAATACTGATTAGTGCTGAAAACAGGAAAGTAAATTAAACACTTCTATTCTTATCTTAAAGTAACTTATATGAATCTATTTAATATTATATAGGTCTGATTAGAACATTAGACGCAAGTATAAGCTTATTTTTCTAGTAAGATTTCTTTTATCATAACTCTAAGAGCTATTAACATATAGGTGATTAATATAATTTTTCTTCCTTTAAAGTAATTCAAAAGAAAAATTAATATGTCAATAAATCACTATATAATGTCATTTCATTATGAGAAAGATTTAAATCTTATGAAAAAATATTGTATAGATTCTTAAGCATTATTCCTGAAAAAGTGTTGTACATTCCTACCTCTTGGCGGCGCTACTTGTATGTTAAACTGTTGATTGTCGTCTGCTATGGGACTACTTTTATTCATCCCATGCAGGTTTCGGGCCTCGGGGAGTCCCCCATTACCCGGGTGATCCTCACGGCTCATGACAATGAGCCGGTCTTGGGAGCCGTACGGCATCGTTGGCTTTCTTGGTTGGCGTATTGCGCGCCACCAGGTCGGTGCTACCGGAGGGTCGGCCGTCTCGAAGCCCCGCGGAGTCCTGAGGATGGGAGTCGACGCAGGGCCAATCTTGCCGACAGGAGGGCGTTTCAGCTGCTCCGGGCCTCCAGTGCTCCTTCCTGGCTCTAGCTGATGGCCTGGTATTCCAAGGCAGAAGCTGGCGTATCTCGCGCCTCTGGGAAGGGAATCTGCCGAAGGGTCAGCAACCTCAAAGTCCCGCGGAGAGTACCTCGACGCGGAGCCGAAGTCACCAACAGGCGCGCGCACTTGGGCGCGCCAGGCCTTCGGAGTTCGCTTCCCAGCATGTAGGTGATGCGCAGCGTTGGGTAATCTTCATCCCGGGCGGGGTAGGGGCGTCCTCAAGGCTCGACGCAAGCCGAGTTGGCCCCACAGCGCGCGCACCCACTGCGAAGTGACGCGCTGTACTTCTCCCACCCGGTCGGGAGTCGACGACCGGCAGACGTGACTGCTCGTTGGCGCGGTCCGGACGAGACTCGATAGATGACTTGTATGTTCGGCAAAAAATACTATCCTACTCCGGAGCTAAACCGTGAAGCGACCGCGAAGCTATTTTTATTTTTTATAAGTGTAAAATAAAGGTTTATTGAATAATTTAGGTTTAGAATAATAGAAATAAGTTGTATCTATCGTTAGGAATAAATATAAATGTTGTAAGGTATGTTTTACCACGTTTATTAAGAAAATTGTAAATCTTTCTTAGAAAGGGTTATTCTGTGCTCTGATTGGTCAATAGATTCACTAATGCCGTGTGCGATTTTTTCTTAATTATGATTGGTTACAGCCGCTTATAAAAAAGGGGCGTTTTTCGTGGTAAAATATTCCAAATCCGGCAATGTAATAATAAGGAATCAAGAAACAAGATAAGAAGAAACTCTCAAGAAGTGTTATTTATTGCTCATCTAACCGCTACTGTATGCTCTCCAGTTAACATCCCGCCAGCAACTCGCTCTATTTTATTGACGCTCCCTTATACGAGCAATTACAATTTATCAATTAAAATTCATTTATTTCTCACCACAAAAAACCTTAACACTAAAGTTAGTAACTATTGTATATATATAAACAAAAATGGCTGTGGATCGCTGGTTCCTCAAGTAAGTAATTAAAACCTGAATAACTGTATTATTCTTGTTTAATTAGTCAATTCAGGAACCAACGTGCGTGCTTGTGTGTATGCATATGTACATGCATGCGTGCGTGCATGCGCGCGCGCGCGCGCTTGTGTGTGTGTGTGTGTGTGCGTGTATGAGTGATTTGTTCTTAGTTGACAGACACGTAGAGGCTGTAGTGCAACTGTAGCGCACCACTATTAGAATAGAATATTTTTTTATTCAATATGTATAACAAGTAATTCTTATAGAAAGACTTTTTTACTTTTGCCACTGGTTCGAAAAATCTTCTGTCCCGGGAAGAACCAGTAAGAAACCAGCGGGACGTTTTTTATAAGTACTTATAATATTTACCCATAGCAAGTGATGTGCGAAATCGTTCACGTGGCCCTGCCAATACGCGTTGGAGGTGGAACATCATGGGTTTTCGTCGCGAGTGTGATATAAACGATCCCGGTCCCGTGAGGTGGGTGTGCATAGGCATTTCCCGATGTGAATAAAAAGGGTGGCTACCCACTAATTAGAGGACATTCAGAACATATAAGTAAGATATGCAGAAAGTCGATGGAAGCAGGAGGCAAAGGACCAGGCTTTGCAGCATTACTTGAAGGAGATCAACGCTCAGCAACTTGTGAAGGGCTGGAATGATGATTATGGTGGTGATATCCAACATTAATAATTTCCCAGTGGGAAGTTATTGGAATGGGTCCGATTTTGCGAATTGCATATATATTAACATATCTCCACGGTTCAGGGTATTTAGAGTCGAATAGTATGGTTTTTAAGAGGATGTCCGTGTGTGCACATATACGTATGTATGTACGTATGTTCAAATTCAATTTGCGCCTCGTGTATCTCGAGAACAAAGAGAGATATTGACATGAGACCAGTTTCATTTAACGCATAATTATGTAACTTAGGCCTCATTAAATTTTGAGCAAAATCGGTCAAGTAGTTTTTTGTGCCGAATGAAAAATTGTATAAAATATTAAAACATATGATATTTTAGACGCACGCACACTTAGACCTCTTTTTTTCTATACTTTGCCAGCTAAACCAGCGTAAAATAGCAGCTTAATACTGCTGTGTTTCGTACGGTGAGTGTGGAGATCCAGAGTCCCTTTTTTACTGGTTACGAGGCATTCCGTCTTAGTCCTCAGGGGTGACAACGCTCCTGCATTTTGATTCTTAATCGAGGATAAATGTAGATGTCTATGGGTTACAGCATCTACTTACCATCAGGTAGACTGAGTGCTCGTTTGTCACCCTTATTCCATTAAAAAAAAGTCTTACATCATTTTTATTTTCAGGCAAATGGTTTAATCAGCGGTATCTACGTAGGTGATGAACCCGTATGGGCAACGAACATGAAGAGAGCTTTGACAGTAAATTTCCAAATGAAGAAAGAAACTGGCACGTACGGGAATTACGAGGTGAGGACACCCCTTTAATTATTTTATCGGGTGATAGAACTTTTTTGTAAGGTATAGAGAAAAGTTTATAAGTGGTATGATTTATTTTCAACCTAGGAAGTTGTCTGTTTGCCAAATAGCAATGCTCCATCGATATATATGTACTACGCACCAGATACGGCATTCCGTACACTCACTATGTTCAACCGAACTGTACTGCAATCCGTACACCTGTTATTGTGGCTTCGATATTCATGCAGTGTGAGCGGCGCTAATAATAAATTTATATTAAATTACATTGCACATATGCAAAATAAACGAAATCTAAAAAATGTCAACCTAAATAAACAATTATTTATTACGACAATTTTCGCGCGTTTATATCAACTGCGCATGCGCGACTTTACTGTTTCCCGCGCATGCGCGGATACAGAGTACATTTTTTGTTTGGAATAGCTTCTCTAGTACGTAGTACATATAACTCAATGCAATGCTTACAGTGACGTGTTCGGATCTGAAGGTAGAGAGCCAGTACAATGGACTGTGAGATATTCCATCTTAGTCCTCAGAGGTGACAACGTATCTGTAGTCTTTTTTGCATGAAGTAAGCTGCAGATTTCGACGTACTGCAGTAACCATGGTAGGGCCATGCTGGAGTTATGTTAGAAGTATAGTTGTAGCACGACCGGGTCTGCTCGACCGGGGAAGGACCACGCTCTCACGGAATATCAGCGTCAAATAGTAGCTTAATGCTGCTGTGTTTCGTATAGTGAGTGTAGAGAACCGGAGACCCTTTTTACTAGAAACGAGGCATTCCATCTTAGTCCTCACGGATGACAATGCACCTGCATTTTGATTCGAGGACAGATGTAGATGTCTATGGGCCACAGCAACCACTTACTATCTATCAAGTGGACTGTGTGCTCGTTTGTCATCCTATCCTATAAAAAAACCACTTACTTCGTCAGGTGGACACTTGTTATTTATCGTTGCTACTTTTAAAGATACAGTGGGGCCATGTGTGTTTTATTGAGTTCTGGGGGTTATTTTAATGCCATTAAGATGATTAATATACATACATAATACATAAATACTCACGCCTGTCACCCAGAGGGGTAGGCAGAGACTACGGACTTCCATTTGGCACGATCCTGACATACCTCTTTCGCCTCCTTTACATCCATATATCTACGCATACACGCTCGTCGGTTAAGGGTCCTTCTAATGTGGCCCATTTTCAAAATATCGCCAATTTGGCCAACTTTCTACTAGGGCGTCCCTTCCCGACTCGGCCGTTCACATCTGCCATATAAATTTGCTTTGTCACTTTTTCCTCATTCATTTTTTCTACATGACCAAACCACGGAAGCATTCCTTTCTTAATCCTGGTCACAACATCATCTTGCATACCACATTTATCTCTTGTCACGAAGACAACGACGACGAACGAAGCGATTAACCGTTTTAAATTATTTGTCTGTTTATCTGCCATGTCTGTTCGAGCTAATCTTTCAGAATAGCTGAACCATTTGTAATGAAAATTCACGATCAAATGGAGAACATCACTCCTGGGGACCTAGGTTACACTTTATCTAAAAACTGTAAAGTAAATGATTCTATTAAACCTAAATTATATCACATTAATCAAAGCCTGACGAAGCTTGGTCGCTAGTTTTTACGTAAAAATACTATTGATGACACATAAATATATGTGTGTATATATGTATACGTATACCTGTTTATGTGTATATATATATATATATATATATATAATATTATGTATTTCATTATTGCATTATCTCCTATACTATATATAGCTTATATGTATTAATATGTACTTGCTTATTTACTATTTATGCACATTTTTCTATCTTTAAATCATCATCATTTCAAAGCATCTACTTATGTTACCGTTGTAGGTATCAATAAAATAATTTACTATGTTTTGTCTAATCAAGCTTATGGCCTATCTAAGTCTGAAAAAAAATCATCGTACTTAATTTAAAACTATATTGACCAGTTGTTGTAATTTATACGATTCACCAATTAAGGCAGGCAAAGGTCTCATACTATACAGCCTAGTCTGACGTGTATTTTTTATTCACAAAAAAAAAACACAAAATACAAAACTCTTCATAATATACAATATATAGATTCCCCATATGCTAGTTGTTACTCCATATAAGCATAATTTAAAATTATATTGACTAGTTGTTGCTAACGATTTGCCTATTAAGACAAGCAAAGTTCTTATACCATACTGCCCAATCTAATATGAATTTTGTTCAAACTGGAGTATCTTTAATTCCTGACTTAAAAAAATAGTTCCTGAAAAAATAGTTCAGGATTTCATTTGTGGACGTAAGAAAAAATGTGAACAAAAACTTATTTGGGAGTTCGCCATTGTCCTATAAGTTTGTTGTGTATTATTGTTATATGTTGAGTGGAATAAAAGCACAAATAAACAAGTAAATGACGTGGGAACTCGGGTTGAACTTGACCATATATAACCTCTTCACTCATTTGAAACGAACAACATAACACTTATTATTCAATTGTGCCTGATTTTATTTAAGGGATTGAATTAAAAAGTTAATGTTTGATCTCAAGCATAGGGTTATCTCCCATCGTGTCTCCTATCGCCCATGTGTCTACTCTCTACCTATCTTATCTGATACGTTTGACCGTGGTTGCGCCTGTTAGTGACTTATGTCCCACTTTGTAAGATCAATGACCGGCAAGCGTTAACGGATGATGTCATCTTGATACTTGATAAGGGTTGACCTTTGATGACGTAGTATTATGGAAGCAATCCTACGATAGATACTTGTATATGATCTATAAAAAAATAAATATAATTAAATTGTCTATTTGTAATGTCAAATTAACAGCTATTTCGAAATGCATATCAAAGTATATACGGTGAAGTTAAATAAATAATTTAAAAAATTCTGTCTCTCTGTTTGTTCTAGCTAATCTCCAAAAAGATTAAACAGATTTTGACGGGACTTTGACTTTTCATTGACAGATATTTGATATTTCAAGGAATAACATAAGTTACTTTTATTTAATAAAAAAAATAGTTAGGGTTCCGAGCCAAAAAATTAAAACACCTATAATCGTATTTACTTTTTTAATAAAAAATTGGGTGTGTTTGAGTCAGTCCCTGGACAGTTTAGGTTCACAACTGAACCAGGTATATTGCGCTGTTGCCCAGATCCAGACATCACTCGTGCAAAGCCGGGGCGGATTGATAGGCATAAAACAAAACGGTAAAATCAGTGGGTCTTGCCAGTGACGACATATGGAACTGAAACATGGTCTTTCACTGCTGATCGTATGTGCAGGCTTACGATTGCTCAACGAAAGGGCCTTAGTTTCTCTGTGTGATAAAATTTGAAATGAAGATATCCTCAGTAGAATCAGAGTAGTATAGAATTGCAGTAGAACTACATGTTAGGGATATTTTTACGTAGTATAGCCATGCTGCAGCTATAATATGGCTGTAGCACAAATGGGTAGGATTTAACGGGGTAGTACGAGCACACAGTCCACCTGATGGTAAATGGTTGCTGTGGCACATAGACATCTACATCTATCTTCGATTAAGAATCAAAATGCAGATGTGTTGTCAGGACCATGCTCTCACAGAATACTAGGGTAAAATAGCAGCTTAAGTATGCTGTATTTTGTATAGTATAGTGAGTGAAGAGAACCGGAGAGCCTTTTTTATTGGAAATGACTCATTCCATCTTAGTCCTTCGGGGTGACAATGCATCTGCATTTTTAATTTTAATCGAAGATAGATATAGATGTCCATAGGCCATAGAATACACTTATCATCAAGTGACTGTGTGTTTGCTTATCACTCTCATTCTATAAAAAAATCCTGCCGTATTATGTCACTACGCCCAGGCTTGACTAGAAGAGAATGTCCAAATATATTAAGTCCATTCTGTGTAACTCTTTTACTACGGTGTTTAAAGCGTATTTATTATATATAAATAAAGAAATAAAATTTATTAATATTTATTTACAGCCGTGCTTGTACGAAAACTGCTTGATGGTGTACACGGTCGTGGGCGAAAGCATAAAGAAGTATTGCAGCCTTAAGGTGTCCTCTGCCAATACTGAACACAGTTGGAGCTCTGTGCCCTGGACCCAGGACTATGTGGAGAGGAACGTTGTAAGTACTCAGTTATACCGTGGTAATCCGGGGCGCATGGCTTAGCATGAGTTTGCGGCACTGATAGCCGCAGGTTTGAATCCCGCACGGAATAAGTATTTTTATGGCCTAAAAATATTGGTATGGGTTGAGAAAATCCTAGAGTGGGGGTAACGTTTTTAAAAATGATAAAACAAAAACCGTTGTAGCTTAGTGGTTAAACGCTTGCTGTAAATTTTACAGTACACAAACAATCCGGATTCGATTCTCGCCGGCATTAATAGTAATTTGCAATTTTAATTTCTAATATCACATGCTAGGCAGTGAAGGAAGGAATTTTAAGGGAACCTGCATTTCTGAGAAATTAATTATATTTAGGATGTGTGAAGTGTACCTCGTATTGGAACACCGCGGTAGACTAATCGCAATTAATAATATCTTCTAGACCTAACTTTGGTCACGGTGGACAGTCTCAACTCTCAACGGAGACTAGCCATGTGCGCAGGGCAAGATTATAGTGCCCAAGTGGATGCGCAAGCACAGGTGCACTCTCTATTGCCTCACTCTCATAATCCGATGGGACGGTAAACCGACACGACCGGAGAGAGATCAGGCGCAGGACCAACGGCTTTACGTGCTTTCCGACGCACGGGGATGAGACACCGCCAACTTCGTCACACTTTCGGCAAACCTTCTGTTATGTATATATAACACAAAAACGAAAATAATTTTGTCAAAAATTGGGATGTGCATTCTGTAAATACTAGTCATCAGTATCAGTTTATAGAAACAACAGTCTTTCCCCTATGTGGAAATGTAAGTATACGCTTTTACGAAAAAGTCCTAGAAAATTTGCAGAACCTATCTATAAAAAAATCATTTATTAGTTATTATATTACTAAACTAGCTGTACCCCGCGGTTTCACCCGCGTATATCACGCGTCTCTGTCGCGCGACATGATATGACACCTCGCTCATTTAGTTCAATCATTTTAGCTAAAAAATTAGCGAAATTAATGGAGTACTTTTATCTATCGGCATATACACGTTATACAGAAAATTTAAATTTTATCCACTCACCCCCCCCTATAATTTAGCTTTCTATTGGTAAAAATTGATTAAAATCGGTCCAGTAGTTTCGGACTTATTTTTTGGTACAAACAAACTAACAAAAACATCTTTCCTCTTTATAATATATATATATATATATATATATATATATATATATATATATAATGACTTTTTTTATTATTTTTACGTATCTTTTTTATTTATTTTTTGTTCTTTTTTATATTTCATTATTTTATTTTTATTTCTAATATTTGTATAAAGACAATATCTACAAAACATAAGCCATTAAATTTATTGTGTCAGAGCTTCTCTGTAAACGATATTATTGATTTTTAGGAGCCCCGACCTGCGATAGGCCTACATACAATTGGCCATGAGTAAAACACTCTTTTCGTAGATCGATCCCTAATAATTTGAAGCTTTGGCCATGGGACTTGTTAATAGTTAACGCGAAAGATGTTTTACCGGAAATTGAAGCCGTTTAAATGGGATTGGCAGATCAGTTGGGATCATCGGTATCCTCGGTATATGAGTTAGTTGACCAACTGATGGGCCTGTGATAATAGTCGTTACAATTAAATTGTCCTTCAATTCCTTAATAAGCAGCCTCGTCCCATTGCACATGCTTGGGGGGCTTAAATTTCTAAGAAGCATGATTGGCGTTCCGATTTTTAACGTCAATTTGTGTGGTGGCAGTCCAGAACGGTTTAGTGAATTTAAAAATTCCTGTGGGTAATGGACTGCGTCTTCGATATTAGTCACGGTGTCGATCGATTTGTAATTTTTTATTTGGCCGGGGATTTTTTGAATAATCACATTGTTTATTTCGTTGACAGTATCATTCCTAGGCGACACTATTGCTCTAGAACACAACCAATAAAAGTCCTTTTCATTCAAATTCTCGATGTCAGGGTATACTGCATCTATTAAAATTTCTAAATTATGGACTATTTGGCCTAGAGACTCATCCAGAAGGACGTCCCAATTTCTGCTTAAATTTGGAGTGGGAAAAATTCCTTCCCCAAGTTTTAGCAGTTGTTGTGGGAAATCACTATCTGTGATTCCATGAAGATGAGAATGATTTTAAATTTTCAATCGAAGTCCATAAGGGAGACGATTTCAAGCATGCTTTGATGATATCTGCTCGCGTACCTCTATTAATGACGGGAAGTGTCTGTCGGAAATCTCCAGCAAATACAAAAGTAATCCCGCCCATGAGAGCAGAAGAGTTTCTAAGATCTTTTAAGGTTTTGTCCACAGCCTCTATATGTGCTCTATGGCTCATGGTGCATTCATCCCACATAATTAATGAGGCGTCTTGTAGTAATTTACCAAGAGGCCCATTTTTGCGGATAGAACATGTAGAATGTTGCGCAAGAGTTACAGATAGCGGAAGCTTAAAAGTAGAGTGTGCAGTTTTTCCATCCTTTAAGAGAGTTGCAGCAATTCCTGACGAAGCAACTGCTATCGCTATATTCCCCGATTGTCGTATCTTAGCAAGTATCAAATTTGCAAGAAACGTCTTTCCAGTGCCACCTGGCGCATCCAAAAAAAAATTTTATTTGTTATTATTCACGCTATCGACTATAGTCTCAAAAGCATGTCTTTGATCTGGAACTAATTTTGGCAGGATTTCATTGACAAAAATGATCAAATCATTTGTATTATAGAGATATGCCATTGTATCTGTAGCATTGTTTTCTGTACGAACTGAAGAAGGTAATCCAAAATGACTTAGGCTTTTATCATTTAATTGCAATAGTTTATTTTCTATGTGTATCAAACCTTCGTTATAAATGTCCTCAGTGTGTGGTAAGGCGAAGTCTTGATTTTGCTGTCTCATTTTGTATATAACATCTTCACATAAATCGTCTTTGAAATTGTCCCAAAATTTCAAAGGTACCGATGTCTGACAAAATAAAAGTATGACTACAAATAACTCTCTCAGTTGTGCTGGACATTGCAAAAGATATGCTTTTCTCAAAGTATTTTCCCAATGCTCATCGTTTTGTAGCAAACCTCTGTCACGGCAAGCTGCTTGATAGGTTTCTTTGAGAACTCCATTAACAGTTTTTAATTACTCGAATGAGGTTGGAACGCGTACGTGATGTAGCAACATCCTAAGATAAAAACACTCTGATTGAGAAGGATGTACACCGTAGACTCTTCCTAAAGCGGCATCTTTTTCATGCCTGGATGGCCAACTACGTCCTCACCACGCCTCCTTCTTGTGAATTTATTATTGGCCCATGTGTAGTATTGCGGGACTTCGTGGTATAGAAGTGTCTTTGCGAATTCATCTTCATTACAGAGCTCAAAGAAAGCCAGCAAAGTAGTTTTACGTGGGTATTGGGCCACTTGTTCAGCCGTTTCTGCAGCAAAATACACCCTTTGGCCATTTTTAAACTGTAGGATGCCCGTGGATCGAAAATTCTAATATTCGCCAGACAGCTTCGGATGTACTTATGTACCGGCTATTCACGTAGTTTTCCATTTCATCATTTGGGTTTCTTACGGTAAAAGTAGCTTGGTCAGAACCTTTATTGATATATTTACAAATGTATTTGATGGCTTGAACTGATTGGCAGTACTCCACATTTATGTGAGCGTTAAACGTCCTACACAATAGTGGAGAATAAGGGACAATCCATCTAATATCTATATTGACCCTACTTTCTCTATTTAGCGTAGCGCTCTGTCCTCCATTTTCGGCGTCACGACGACGATAAACTGGATATCCGTCCTCTCCGGTTTGGGTATCGTTGACGAAACGTCGATGGTACTTTTTTTACAGAGACCATTTTTCATACATGGTGCTGTTAGGTTACGCTCTCCGCATGGTCCGTGCACCATATTTTTAGTTACGATATCGTACAATATCAGGTCCTTTTGTTGGTTGGGCATTTCTGCAACTATGACACTATCAATTTCGTCTGGCTGGATTTTTCTTTCTAGCCAAAACAGCAAATGACAGTGTGGTAAACCTCGCTTCTGCCACTACACACTTTCCATGTAACATTTCACTTTGCCGAATATTTCATCTTTGGTGAAAAATTTTATGAATTTCCTCATCTTTAAATGAAATACCCTTGAAATTATATCATGACGATCGGAAGACCGCTGACCAGATAATAGTTCCGCTTTAATTTCAGGCCATTCGGGGTTACACGTAAAAGTCACAAATAAGTCTGGCCTTCCGTAGTTTCGGACATAAGTCATCGCATCCTGGGTTTTTTTTCGTGCAAATAACGCGGAGAACCTGTGAATGAAGATGGCAAGATTACGTGTTGACCGATATTTTATGGGTCAACATATGCGTCTTGATTTAAAGCGTCTCTGAGATTAATGTATTCATCAGCCCTCAGTCTTTGTTGATTATGACTTATGTAATTCAATATTTCTGATATCATTTTTGCCATCATATCGACAATTCTAAATAAGTCTCTGTAATAATGCAGTGGATTAAAACAGTTAGCTCTACCCATCCATCTAAATGCATAAAATTGCATGCACGTCACAGTTTTGTTACGTACTGTACCTTGCTGAGGAATGGTCAAATAATAACCGTCTTCTCCCATCACGAACATTAAGGGATACTGTAGTGGATCATAGGATCGGTGTAACTCAGAGACCCTTTTAAGTTGGCCGTCTCTACCGTGCAGTACTATATCTCTGGGGCCTTTTTCTTCTTCAACCAAGAGAACGGCTACCTCGTTTACAGCTGGAGCATTATATCTGCCCGGGTGTGCTGTCTGTGGTGGGCGGTCGGATTGAATAATTAACTTTAAATTATCCGAAGAGTTACGTTCTAAGTTTTGTTTAAAACTTCGTATGTATACATTGTGGCTATTCAGTGAGGTCTGTAGTTAATCGTTAATTAAATAAATTTTTAGCGTTGGAGCTATATTTGACCGCAACGATAGCTGATCTGAGTCTGAAGTGAAATATATCTGCAAGTATTGTGGATTTTGGCCCGATGGTGGTAAAAGGCTACCTATAAGATGATATACTTGTCCCTCTATTTTAAAAGTAGGCATAAAATTTCCTTCTCTAATTTCTTTCGCGCCAAACGAAGTCATTTGAAATAGGCTATTGTACCTACGTATGTTGCTTAAAAATTGTCCAGATAGTGAATGATTATTTGTTAAAAGATTTTTTATTGGCTGTGGCGGCTCCTGAATGTTGGGGAGACTAACTTTTCCAGAAGCACAGCACATACCATTAGGTTCATCGGCCCATTTTTTGGCAGAACACTTAGAGCAGATCTTATTCATGGCTCCGATTTGGACGGAAGACTGTTGAGCATAATCAATCTGTGGATCGTATCTGAAAGCCGATCTATTACTGTGAGCTAAAACTCGATTGCGAACTCTAGTCGTTGACGTCTGTTGTCTTTCTCTTTGATCTCGAAGGCGCTGCGAACACTCGACACTCGAATCTCGCGCGCGTACTTGAGAGGTTCTCAAATTTTGTTCAGCAAGCCGCTGAGAACGCTCGATACTCAACTCTCTGGCACGCGATTGCGACGCGTATTCTCTCTGATTTGCAAGACGATTGTCAGTTTCTGATGAAGATTCTCCTTTACGACGTATTTTTAATGCCCTCGCCTGGGAACTATTTCTGGAAAGTTGAGATCTTGATCTTTTGGGCCCTTTTTCATTATTTAATTATCAGCAGGTAAAGACAAAATGATAAAAAAATTAAAAGTGCCCTTGTACTAAATTTATATGCTCAACTGTTGAACAGGAATTACCTATATAAAAATGTAATTGAAAAATTATAAGAATTACTAAGTTACTAAGCTGTTTGGATAGTTAAATGTACACAATATTTATTTATCAATTAGTACCTACTGAATATAAAATAAAAAAATGGGTTTAGAACTGAAAATAACTTTTGTTTGGTTTTAAAAATAACTTTTTATTTGGGTTTAAATTTAATCAACGCCGACTAAATGAATTTAAAGCGAATTCAAAATATTAAATTTATTGGATTCCGCACACAACCACTGCGTAGGGGCCGACCGCGCGAGTGGGCCGCGCGGCAATTTATTTTTTGACATAGACTCCCCTTCCACACCCCAGTGACACCCGCATCGCATGGTGCTGGCAGTACAAATTTAATTTCAAGTACGCGATATAAGGTTTTTTTTTTGGTATTTTTTTCACACCTTGGGTTACATTAACGAAGTTTTCATACGGATCCCTAAATTTTTTGAAAACGTTCTATCGTCTATGTTCATCAGGAATAATGTAGGATTCTAATGGTGAAAGAATTTTTCAAATCGGTTCAGTAGTTTCAGAGCCTATTCAATTCCAAACAAACAAATCTTTCCTCTTTATAATATTAGTGTAGATAAATTATAAATGATTGATAATAACCCTCTAGCAATGAGATGATTCTAATGTATTCATATTTATATATATAGCATATTATAGTAAAATTAATGTTTATTTAGGTGTCATATTACAATAAGTATTTTTGTAATCTATAGCTAGAAAGAATTATTCTATTCTATACCGTTCCATTCCATTCCATTACATTCAGTTCCGTTCCATTCCGTATCATTCCGTTCCATTGCGTTCCATTTAATGGAATGCCATTTTATTCCATTCTTTTCTACTCTGTCCTATTCAACAATACCTAAATTCATTATACCGAAAATCCCCTGATGCCAGAACCAAACCGTATGTTGTTTAGCAAATTATAGTAATATATTTATTATAAGTAATTATGTGACAGTAGCCTAATGGTAGGGCGCGGACCGCGAATTCTAAAAAGTCGTGGGTTCGAATCCGCTATTCGACTACTGGCGTGAACCACTCGTAATACAAGCATTTTAAGCTTACCACAAGTGTGTATTAGTAATGTTTGTAGCATTGTTAATATATTTTTTAAAAAAGAAAAAAAAATTACTTCAAATGGTAATTCAAGTTTGTATTATTTCAGCCTGAGGTCATATCAACATCGGAGCGGGTGTATGAGTTTGATGAGAAACGCGGGTTGATTTGTATGAGTATGAATGGAAACTTCCAGTACAAGATACATGACCACATACTCTATGTGGCTTCTGAGTGAGTATAATATATGCCTAAAATAGAAAACGTAACATCGTCCAACATCTCTAAGTTTGTACATTTAAATCCCTGCTCAAATCAAATCTCATATTAAATAGCAAGTAATGCTTTAATAAAGTCCCGATGGATTTCTTGCTGGTTCATTCTAAGACAGAGGTTTCTTCCGAACCAGTGGTAAATGTAAAAAATCACTTTCAATAAGAACTACATGTTATCATTGAAATACCATGTCGTGGTAGCTCAGATGGTTAGTGCTACATCCGCCGGCACCGGCGGATGTAGCGTAACCATCGCACCGGTTAATTGCAATTTTAAATGCTGATTTATCATGTGCTCGGCGGTGAAGGAAAACATCGCGAAGAAACTTATATGTCTGAGAAATAGGAAAAAAATATTTCGAAGGCATATGAAGTTCGCCAGCACGCATTGGGGCAGCGCGGCGGACACTTCCTTGCCCTAAAACCCTCCCAGAAATGAGAGGAGGCCTGTACCCAGTAGTGGGACGTATATAGGCTGTAACTGTAACTTTTAACTTTTTATTATTGAATAAAAATTATTTTGGTAGGTCTCCTATAAGAAAAATCACATAACACGATACTGAGCCAACAGTGTCCATCGCCTTCCTGGAGGCTTACTTTGCTCTCTGTGGTGGGACTTCTTTTTTGTCTAGGAGTCCGTCTCGGTAGGTTCCATCCTCTTACCGTTTCAGCTGTCACTTAACTGCTAACTGCTGATAGAGAGTGAGCATAACTGCAGGCTGACTTACGTCTTGTCATCAGTCGCCGTGTCGTAGCGGTATAGGAGATTCCAATACTCCAGCCATCCGGTGCGTCTCTTAAGCGGTGACAGAAGGAAATATAATAGATGGATTTTTTGTAGGATATACTGACAAACGAGCACAAAGTCCACCTGATGGTAAATGGTTGCTGTGGCACATAGACATCTATCATATTATCATCATATATCTATCTTCGATTAAGAATCAAAAGGCTAATGCGTTGTCACACATGAGGTTGAAGATGGAATGCCTTGATTTCAGTAAAAAGGGTCTCCCGATCTCTACACTCACCATACGAAACACAGCAACATTAAGCTACTATTTTACTCTGGCATTCTGTGAGAGCGTGGTCCTTCCCCGGTTGAGCCGACCCATGATAGAAAAATCTTTATGATAACAGCTCTAAATAGTAAAAACTGGGTAAACCTGGGGCTGCTAAGTGCCCAAGCATGGTAAATATGTCCAATCCTTGTGAGGCAGTCTTGATGGAAGGCCATTTTATCAGTGGTATATATATATATATATATATATATATATATATATATATATATATAAAAACTACCCTCATTAATATAATAGAGAAATTGCATTACTTTTTTGCTGCAAATTTATATATAAACGAAAAAATAATTAATTTAAAGTATCTGTGAGCCAATGGCAATCATGCTATACTTTTGTATTTTCTATATTCGAATCACTGGCTGCGTTTGGCAGAAAAAGCGCTAGGAAGCGCTTGTAAGCAAAATGGCGAAACTATACAGTTTTCGGCCGGGACACGTATGCTAACTTCAGTAGCGCTGACACAATCCGCAGTTTTACTTATTTATTATGTTTGTTTTGAAGTAGAGTTTATAAGTTATTTTGTGCAATATTAGTTTTAAGTAATATAATGACATGAATAAACATAGGTACATGTTATTAAAAAATCATGATTGGTAAGTTCCCGGTAAGCTAACTTAGTGTCCTAGAGAAAAATAGCTATTTATATACCATTTTACAGCGCTTACCGCTTACGATCGCTATTTTGCTTACAAGCGCTTCCTAGCGCTTTTTTCCGCCAAACGCAGCCACTATGTATCATAATAAAACACATATAACCTGTATTATCTAATGACAATTTTTTTTTAATTTTGACAACATAAATTTTAAACATGAGTATTTTATCATTTGACCACTCCGTGGCGTTACTTAAGCGATACTGGCATTGGCGTTTGAATTTACATTTTAGAAAAACTATTTTTAATTGTTAAATTACATAAATGTTTAACATGCTGCAGTTATATTTAGTAGTATAGTTGTAGCACGAATGGATCGGTTCGACTGCTTAAAATAGTACCTTAATGCTGCTATGTTTCGTACGGTGAGTGTGGAAAACCGGATACCCTTTTTACTGGAAACGGGGCATTCCATCATAGTCCTTACTGGTGACCGTAATCGAGGATAGATGTAGATGTCTATGGATCGCAGCAACCACTTACCATCATGTGGACTGTGATTATAAAAAAATGAATTACTTTATATAGTTTCTCTGTTAAAAAAAAAAAACATACAACTTCTCTATTAAAAACAATTTAAATTACAGACTTTCCTTATATTACGACATGGACGTCCCCGTCGAAAGCATAGAGAAGTTGAATCTATCAAGAAGGGAAATACAATATGACGCCGGGGATTATAGGAACCCATCGAACTTCATAAAGGTGATGACGCAACACGACCTGAAGAATAGGACTTACGAGGTATAATCTATATTCGT